CTGATCTGGCCGGAAAAGGCCAGATCTACGCCTTACGACATAGATCTGATGGGGTCTGTGTCGTAACGCAATTTTCGGCCAGATTCCGGCGATGGTGGCCGGAATCTGGCACTATAGATGTGGGGGTGTTTTTGTCATTTAACAAACTTTTTATATATGGGGGTGTTTAGTAAATTAGCAAACCTAGGGGGTTTTTAAAAATTTATTAAAAAAAACTAAAATATCTAACTTTCAAGGGCATTTTAGTCTTTTCACTGTTAACAAACATAAATCATTAACAGCACATAACGGAAGGTACTTGTTTGTCGTTTCAAAACCTTTTGGGTACCAACTTGTTGTTACGGCACTTTGGCCATATTAATGTGATAAACTTTTTAAATTTAATTAGTTTTCAGCTAGCATGTTAAATCCATACCATTCATAAACAAAAGCCTCATTTATTCTTAGATTTTAACAAAGGGTTTATTTCATTTTCTCACGTGAGATCCACTTAATTTCAAACTCGTGCTTTTCGTTCATTAAGTATTAGAAACACTCCTATTATAATCAAAACTCACCCTTTATGAAATTATCGAAGTCCCCCGGCCCCTAATAAGAAGAATTTTGTGAAGGATGAATATGAAAGTAGTAAGTTCAAGCATGGGCGAATCCAACCCCTTTGAGGGTAGGCCTCGTATCTTTTTTTCAAATTACTAATATATAGGCCCATAAAAAATTGTTATTAACATATATATATATATTCAAGTCTACTTTCATATTTAAAAAAAATGAGAATTATTATACATATATTTAAGCCCACAGAAAACCTGTTATTAATATATATTTCAAACCCACATCATATTAAAAGTTTAAAACTCTCTACTCTTTTTTCTACTGTTTTACTTGTTTTTTATAATCTTATCTCCAATATTCCTTACTGTCTCATTTTTTTCTTTCTCTTTCTCGTGTTATTTGCTTTTAAAACTTTTGAAGACTGAAATTGTTAAAGCTTTCACTATTCAATGTGTCACAATTAGCTATGTTTTCTGTTTTATCAATTTTAGGTATGTGTATTGTTTATTTCAATTTAGTTTATTTTATCGTTGAATCATGCTCTTTTTTTTTTTTTTTTTTTTTTGAGATTTTTTATTCAATTTGAGGAAAAAAAACATGAATTTGTGAGTTTATTTTGTGTTTGTGTCTAAGAATTAACCACTTTCCCAAATTAAACCTTAATTATATTTAAATGACGTTATTCTTCACTCTTCACCCACCACTTGCTTACATTTCAAACATCACCATTCAGTTGCTCAAAATTATTAAGAAATTTTAGTTACTATTTATGTTTATACCAGAAAATTTTCCTTTTTTTTATTGTTCAATTAAAAGTCAACATAGCGTTGATTTGATTTAAGTTTGGTTGACTTTAGCTTAGGCTTGTATGATAAAAGTCATAAAAAATTTATATATATCTTTGGAAACCAAAAATAAAGAAGGTTTTGCTCAAGGTTTTTATCAACATATTTACTTAAATTTTGCTTCTCGTAGATTTATTCAAGTAGGAAAGTATTGTTTTATTATATTCTTTCTCTTAGGTTCTTAATATTGTATTATTTTTTTGCTTAAGGTTTATATTTTTTTTAAATTTTTACTAGTGTTTGACGAACAATGACAGGTTACGGAGGCCCCCCCTCGGTAAATATCTTGGATCCGCCACTAAGTTGAAGCCCATTGCTTCAATTTGGCAGAAATCTTGTATTGTGGCCTCTTCTTTAGTCAATTAACGGAAACTTTAATTAATGGGTAATTAAAACGATATTCATTATTAGATAATCATAGAATAGGCATGTACATGATAGTTTATTAGGCATTAGTTTGAATTAAAATTTATTTAATATTAACCACGAAAGGAGAAGAATGGCTAAATCTTGGGCAATATAAATCTGATGGCGTTTTAAATGCGAGGATAAAATAATTAAACGTTATATGTGTGGAAAAGGATCTAAATATATATCATTTATAAATATATCGAAAATTAATTCATTCTCAAACTTTTTATTAGATAAGAATTAAATGGATTATTATTAATCAAATGACATTTTTATAACAAACTTATAGTTATAAAACAAAAATATCTTAAAAGAAAATGAAAGAACACTTATAGGTGTATTGAAATATATCATGTATGAGTGATTTTTAAAAAATAAAATAATATATACATCAATAATAATTTAATATATATATATATATATATACAAATTAAAAAATAAACTAATATTACAATAAGAATAAATAAAATATGATATTTATAAAGAGAAAACAATTTCCTATAAACTAATTCCTATATCACATTAACTATGAATTATTCCCTATACCATATTAACTTCTGGCTATAAGTTAAGCTGATGATGTTACTTACAATAGCTATTTTTTTTAACATATTAACTATATACAATATGTATATACATTAAATTCAATGTTTTAGAAAAAAAAAATGCTTAGATAAATTAATACTTTATTAATTTATATGATTAAATAATATACGATTAATTAATAAAATTTTATGGACCCAAAGATATTAAAGGGTGCGTTTGGTGTAGTATTTTGGATAGGATTTTGAGGATAGTATTGGATTGTTGGATAGGGGAGTATTACGAGGTAAATTTGAAAAATTTATGAAAAAGCCCTTAGGTTTACTAATTTAATTAAAGACCCTATTATATAAAATGACAAAAACACCCCCACCACCTGCAGTGTCAAATTCCGGCCAGATCTGGCCTTTTCTCTGGCCGGAAAAGGCCAGATCGGTGTAATTCCGACCATTTATGGTCGGAATTTAGGCCGTTGTACAGATTCCGGCTATCACCGGCGGTGGTTGCCAGAATCTGACAAGTTGGGTTGATGGGGGGGTTTTTGTTAATTTTTAAAAAAAAAAATCAGGGGGCATTTAGTGAAATTAATAACCTTATGGGGTCTAAAAGTAATTAAAAAAAATAGGATAATATTTCTGGAATAGTGTGCCAAACATTATTTGGAGAATAAGATTGGGAATATGGATAAAAATAGGGAGCCAAACGCACCCAAAATTGTTAGAGTGCTCCAATGATCCAGATAGGGTAATTTTGTCATTGTATAAAAATTAAACATGTGCTTAGTGGAAGTCAATTAATATAAATGAGGGTCCACACATATAGACAAAACATGTGACATGATCACGTGAATTCACAGAGATGTTAAGGCCATGTTTGGCAGTGTAAACGAGGAGAAAGTCTATGATATCACAAAGTTTCTCAATAAAAATATCAAATACTTAAGATATTTACTTATATCACAAAGTATCTGCTATTACCTTTTAAGTGATATATTAATTAATTAATTAATATTTTATACTTATTTTATTATTTATATTTTTTTATATTAGTTTGTATATATATTTGTGTGTGAGAAATTATTAATATTAATATCAATGAAATATAGTATTATTTTAGATTCAATAGTCACTATTAACATTAATTATAAAGATAGATGAAAAAAAAAATTTATAAATGGTATAGAAATTAACTTATAAGTCTAATATGATACATTTACAGTGTTATAGATTTTATATGCATATATCACAATCCCTACTTAGAAGTGAATGTTTATTTTAATATTTACATAATACATATAATTAATTAATTTTAAATAAGGATATAATTATTTTAAATACGAAATATTGTTATAGATAGAGAATGAACACGTAAAAAAAAAAAATAGATTTTTTAAGATTATTTGTTTTCAATTTTTTAGTTATATATGCAATTTGTTTCGTGTTTTAGAAAATAAAAATGACACTTAAATATATATTTATATCTTTTATGAGATAAAATAAAGAATACAATCTTGAATATTAAAACTTTTCATAATAAGTACTTAAAATTTCATTAAATGTCTAAAATCCAACCTTAGAAATAAAAGTAAAATAAAGATTCTCCAAACCAAACACGTCCTTAATTATTTTCCCATTAAAGAAGGAAAGAGAAACGGCCATACATCTTAGAGTATAAAATTTGTTATACTCTCTTCTGCATCCATAAATGTAAAATAAAACTTCGTCCTTAAGAATTAATCTTATAGAATATTTTGAAAAGTTTTGGTACTTAACAATTATATTTTAATTTCTATTATTGACAAATTTTAGGAGGACCAAAACATTATTAAAAAAATTCTATTAAATTAAAGTTACATTACTCAAAACTAAATCTCAGAGATGAAATTGTTAGTACTCCTTCGACAAATTGATAGAATAATAATATCCTTTGAAATAACAAATGCAAATCGAATACGCAAAACAAAGGATTATAGAGCGAATTGAAACTGCGCGGTACTCTCATCTCTAGTCGTAAATTTCAATGCTTTTAGAACGGTCAGCGCACAAAAGCTGCAAATAAATACTACAAAATACTACAGTAACAGCTATCTGCGCGCCTACATAAAATTGCTCGCAGCATCTTTCAAACTTCTTTTCAATTTACCATCAATCAATTACATATGCCTATTAAAAACAAGAATAAATAACCTTAATTTCGAGACATTCTTTTAACAATTAATTATATAATAATAACATTAAGAAAAAATGAGGCATTTACCTTTTAAAAAATGGGATAAATCAAATTTTTTATGTTGTATACAAATTTTTTCAGTCTATATATTAAATTATACAATTATTAAGTGCGTCAAATATTATTAAAAAAAAAAGAGGTTTTAATCATTTAAATGAAGATATAATTAATCTTAAAAAATTGATTTTATGATCACGAAGTTTTACTCTCTTTTTTAAATTTTTGTTCTTGTATTCATAAAATCACCTATTACAATAATATCGAAACCTTTTCATGCTAAAGATATTTTGACATAAATTTTCTTTTTGAAGAATAAAAACTCTATTTATTATTATAACGTCATATTTTAGAATATTAAATAATAATTTAATATATAATAAGAGTAAGCCACGGTCCAGCACACTTTATTTGTTTCTTATCTAAAAAGTTTCAAAACACAACTTTACTACCAAAACTTTTAATTTACCCTAAATTCAGAAAAAAAGAAATAAACCAGATTCCGCACCAAACAGAAGTCTTCACTGTCACTCTTAAAACCCAGTAAAATCTCCCTCAATATTCTTCACAAATTTATTGTTGCAACTGTTTCATTTCTGTCTGCAATTTCTAATCTTTGCATGGATTTCGTGAGTTCTATTTTACTTTTCTTTTTTAATTAAATTAATTATTTATTTCTGTCTGCGGAAGGGAGGTACATTATCGTGTTAAGAGTATCGAAGAATTGGCGGAATCTTGGCATCTTTAACGCTTAATGATAAGTAAGGTAATTGTTGCTTTCCTTTTTTGTTAATTGAAGTTTATGTATGTGTGTTTAGTCGGAGATTAGGCGTTTCTTATATGCATTTTTGTGGTCTTCTGTTTGCTTGCTGAGAAACTAGGAAAAAAAAAAAGGAATAATTTAGGACGAGTTTTTTCTGGAAACCAAGCAAGGTATTAGTAGTTCAAGATGATTGTTTTCATTTCTGTGTCTTTTAGTATTCTTGACTACAACAAGGGTTTAGGCTTTAGAATCAATAGTAGTTGTAGAGCTTTTTCCTATGTTTATATGGTTTATGTTATTTTAATTTCATTGTTTGGGTTTTTTTTTTTCACTGATTGAAAAATTATTTTCAAAGCTGAAAATACAATCAACAAAATCTGACTTGTATCTTGATAAAAGAGAACACTTTGTTTTGTCTACTGTTTTTTCTGGTTGTAACTGGAAACTGTTTCTGGAGACATTTCAACCCAATGAGTTTTGTTTAAAATTATTATTTTCCGTGTATTTAAACATAAGAGTATTCAGAATCTAAACCAAAGAAGCCTTGATTTTGAGAAAGCAATCAGTGGATTTAGATGTCTATCCCAGATTTTTTCAACAAGATGGTCTTTAGGCTCATTTTTCATATAACTTTTCCGGAACACAGAGAGAACTGTGTAGGGCTTTGTGATTTCGGGAGGTTTTGATTATTTTCCTTTGTAGACATGAAATGTTTTATTTTTTATTTTTACTCTGGGTGACTGCAAAAAGGTAATGAAGCTAAGACATGTTAATCAGTTCTGAATAATAGTCCAATGGTGGTTGCTTGGGGAATGATTCATTTATTGCGGTTTATCCTTATCATGCAGCTTCTTGTGAAATTTAGTAGGTTTTCAAGAAAGCATTAAGCCTGTAAACCTACATCCGAAACTAGGCAAGATTATGAAAGATATCGAATAACTGATTTTTAATTCGTTCAAAGTTGGGCCCAGAAGATTTGAGCAACCTTTCCATATGTAAAACTTCCAATCTCGACAGATTCTTTTACTTTTTTATTTTTTAATATGATATAAGATAGCTTGACCAAAAATTGTATTTTACAGTGCTGTTTGCTATTGTGTTGTTGCATAAAATGTGTTTGCTAAAAGCATCCTGAAGTAATTATTCTATGACCTAACCCTTTTGTGCATGATTCGTTACTCATTAAAATTTATCTAATGTTTCTAATGCATTTATTTGAGATGTCTATTCTATACTATCGATTTAAGAGAAAGGCAGTTATGCCCCATATATGAAATCAGATCTCATCTTATACTTGAGTACTACTATACTTACAAACTACTTATATAAACTTTTATGTAAAAACTTATGTGACACAAAAACTTTGAATGTGTGACAATACGAAATAAATGAACCATCTTAAAATAGATGATTTGGCAACCACACACAATGTAGTATTTGTTTTTATAGAAATATTTGTATGGATGCTTTGTAATTGACTCAATTTTTTAACATTGATTAATGTTAATCCAATGTTTATCTTTACGCCAACTCATGAACATCTAAACCAAAGGATTGCAATGGATGAAAGGCTATGAATTAGTGTCAACATTTTAAGTTAAAAGTTTAAGTTGATATAGCTCAACCCTTATTAATATATTTCTCCTCTTTTGGGATTACATGAAGATATATATGAAGTTATGAATCCATTTTCGTCTATATAATAATTGTACTTGAACCATAAAACTTTACCGAAAGCATGCACATTTATTATTTAATAATTCATAGTGATACCAAACCGACCATTAAACATGCAAGGTAAGTGTATTTTGATTCGAACAATTGAAGGTTATGTACCAAAGATTGTTTTGTTGAATCAGACTTTTTTCCGTCTCTCTTTGTGTCTCTTTCCTGATTTGTCACCTATGACATACTTTACCCATTTTTTAATTGTTGATATTTATGTTGTTCTGTATTTCTGCTGATCGTTCTTTTTGGAATTCATTAAAAAAAATCTCGCTTGTTCATGTATTAGGCTGCAATACATCATGATTTATGAGCACTGCTGTTTTTGAAATGATGTAATACCTAGTTTAAAACTTGGTGAACGGCATGATAAGAGTTGAGGGATTTTGGAGTATGAAATCGAAATGTACTTTTATCTGCAGTTATATGAAGTGTGCATGTGAAAACTTTGTTTTTGTTTAGTTGAGCTTTTCTCATTGCCTTTGAAATTATATACTGCTGTTACTATATTATTAAGTCCTACTAAAACAGCAAAGCTCAGCCTACTGTATAATGGTTGTGTGACAATTGGTGAATTGATCTACTTGATCATCGTTTTGGGTTTGGTTTGGAGTCAGTATCATGAACTAAATGAATAAGCAATGAAGAAAAGGAGATGAGTAGAATTAATGATAGACAAAAGAAGTAAATTAAACTCTGAGAAGAATGTTGGTTTTGAAAGCAAGACCATGTTGGACAAAAGGTCCCAAGCTTCTTGGTTTGTGTGTATATGCATGTGCAGATGTGTAATTACTTTTGTACCCTGGGCCTGGATGTAGCCCTGTGTTTTATGATAATAATAAATAAATAAATAAATCAATTTATTTGTTTTTTATACAAATTCACTACCATTTAATCAAGTCATTAGGGTTTTCTTTTATTCTTCCATTTCCTCTTCTTCCCTATATTGCTCTCACATTCTGTATTTCTTCTAGTCATACATAAGTATACTGTAATTTTGGATACTTTATATTTCTCTGAGCTTTTTGGCTTTTTATTAATAATGTAACTTCATTTTGAACTTAGGTCCCTCCAATCATTTCTTGAACAGCTTGAAAACCTAACATTGGGTTAAAGTGGAGGTTTGAAAGAAATGGTAAATCTTCATTCTAAATTATCTTTTTGTTCTTGACTTACCAATAAATAAAAAGAGATATTATTCACAATATTTGTTATCTGCATTGATATCTTTTTTTAACATTACTTAGGATGGGAACACATCTGGTGGGGAGAGTGATGAGTTTGGCTGGAATACTGAAGACGAGCTGGAAATTGCGAGCTATGCTTTACCTTCTTGTTCCAATGGGACACTGCATGGTGGAGAGGCTGTTGCTGGCTCAACAGAGGTATGTGTTGAATATTCCTTTTTGGTTTTGCCAGTGAATCACAAATTGGAAGAAATAAAATGCTAGAGTTGCTGCCTTTTTTTTGGTTATCATAAAGAATATTTTGTTGTTCTGTCTTAAGAATTGGGTCAATGATTTTTAATTGATGAGTTTGTACAGGGATTATATGAACTGGTCATCGTTCAGTGATATGTATACAAAGGTTTTGTGCACTCTAACCTGGTGGTAGAATAGCATTTTACTACTAAATGCTTTTGGAGTAACTTACAGTCGCTCGCACTGTTTTGCCATTTGCTGGTTCTTCTTTTGTTGGTTCTGCAGTATATTGTTGGTTGTTTAAATTGGCTATCATAATAGTTGCCTTTTAGTTGCCTGATCTCTTTGGTGTGGATGGCTAATCAATTTATGTGTATCTTTCATCTCATTCACCATGTATAGTTCCTCTCATTTGTGTCGTTACGAAATATGCAAAAGGACCACCTTCACCAATTTTTCCTGACATAGAAATAAGTCTTTGCTGTACTTATTGCGTGGCATATTTGAAAATATTTTGGGTTTGTTCTGCCATGACCATGTGATGCTGCACTTAATCGTTATGGTGAAAGGCATTGACAGTTTTAGTCTTCTGTAATTCAATAATGCTGATTTTTCATTTGATTTCTCCTTTAGCTTTGTTAGAATAGGTGAATACTTGTACATATCTTATCATGTTTGTCTTCCCAATTTCCAGTAATGACATGTTCATTATCTTTACCCATGTTATTGCTCTCTTGTGGTTTCTTCTTTAACATTCAAAAATATATTATTTTTAATAATTTGATCTGCACATTAATGTCTATATGGGTTGATCCTAGAGATAGAAATGCAGCCATTCTGTGTATAACTTATTCTTTAATTCCTTTCACCATTTCAAGGCAAGCTCATCATCAGGATCTTCCAGCACCAAGATGATTGATCATTTTGTAGGGATGGGGTTCTCAGAAGAAATGGTTATCAAAGCTATTCAGGAAAATGGTATGACTTCCATTTACTTCGTTAAAGCATAAGGATTTATTCAGAGGTCATCCGTAACCTTGCTTTTATTATTATCCAGGAGAGCAGAATACAGATTTGATACTTGAAACTCTGCTCAAATACTCAGTGAGTTGATGTTCATTTTCAGTTATAAAATAATTGGTGAAATACTGAAAACATGTCTCTTGTACCCTTTGTGAAATTTTTATGTGAAAATGTTTGTGCATTAGCTAAATCTGGTTTCTATATAATATATGTAACCACTCCTATAATGGGATTTGATTCACTTTTCTGCTTCCAGGGAAGCTCATCGGCAAGCTCTTCAAACTCCAAGTTGATTGATCATTTCGTGGGGATGGGGTTTTCTAAGGAAATGGTTGCCAAAGCAATTCAGGAAAATGGTAAAGTTTGTTTCTCTCTTATGTTGTGCATCACTTTTCACCCTGAACGCCTTATGTCTAATCTGCTTACTTAAATCTCAGGAGAGGATAATACAGATTCAATATTGGAAACTCTTCTCACATACTCCGTGAGTTAATTTCTGCCCCTGTATACTTCTTTTTTGTCTGTTTCTTTTTGCCCTTGATATTGCTGTTCAATTTAAAAATTGGCGTACTGTACCCTTATTGATAAAATAATAACCAGCCAGATTTGGGAACTGTACCCTTATTGTCCAGAACTCCAGATTGGTACCCTTATTGGCAATATTTGGGAACTGTAAGAACCAGCTGCCAGTTGGAATACCTACTTTCTTTTTTAAATAAGAAACAAGAAAATTTTATATAAACTAATTCAAAGGGGGGACACCAATCTGGACAGCAGACCACAATCGGAACAGAAAACCAGTAGGGTATCATACGTGATAAATCTCCGTTAAACAACCTTCTTCCAGATTTTCTGTTAGGATGATTTTTGCTTTCTTCTTTTTTGATGAAGCAATAGTTGTATATTGATAAATAATTTTTTTGTTGCAATTTATTGAAAAAAATTATACTGGGCATTTATCTTTCTTTCTTTCATTTATTTATTAATTATAGTTTTTCTGTAGGCTCTTGAAAAGTCTCCTCAAGCACAGCAAGATGTTGATTCTGATGAATACTCATCAGAACTTGAAGGCAGCTTTCTAAATGATTTTTCAGATATCAATACTTCTGATGGCGAGGTAGTTAAATATATATATATATATATATATATATTCTGCCATACTACTTAGGTGTATCTGTTATGTAAAACTTAAGTGATGAATTTATTTAATATAACCTTCTTCAAATATGTGGCGTCCTGCTAAAATCTAATTTGCATTACTGCAATCATGTTATTTACATTCCTAACTCAATCTACTAANGATGAGTTTGGCTGGAATACTGAAGACGAGCTGGAAATTGCGAGCTATGCTTTACCTTCTTGTTCCAATGGGACACTGCATGGTGGAGAGGCTGTTGCTGGCTCAACAGAGGTATGTGTTGAATATTCCTTTTTGGTTTTGCCAGTGAATCACAAATTGGAAGAAATAAAATGCTAGAGTTGCTGCCTTTTTTTTGGTTATCATAAAGAATATTTTGTTGTTCTGTCTTAAGAATTGGGTCAATGATTTTTAATTGATGAGTTTGTACAGGGATTATATGAACTGGTCATCGTTCAGTGATATGTATACAAAGGTTTTGTGCACTCTAACCTTGTGGTAGAATAGCATTTTACTACTAAATGCTTTCGGAGTAACTTACAGTCGCTCGCACTGTTTTGCCATTTGCTGGTTCTTCTTTTGTTGGTTCTGCAGTATATTGTTGGTTGTTTAAATTGGCTATCATAATAGTTGCCTTTTAGTTGCCTGATCTCTTTGGTGTGGATGGCTAATCAATTTATGTGTATCTTTCATCTCATTCACCATGTATAGTTCCTCTCATTTGTGTCGTTACGAAATATGCAAAAGGACCACCTTCACCAATTTTTCCTGACATAGAAATAAGTCTTTGCTGTACTTATTGCGTGGCATATTTGAAAATATTTTGGGTTTGTTCTGCCATGACCATGTGATGCTGCACTTAATCGTTATGGTGAAAGGCATTGACTGTTTAAGTCTTCTGTAATTCAATAATGCTGATTTTTCATTTGATTTCTCCTTTAGCTTTGTTAGAATAGGTGAATTCTTGTACATATCTTATCATGTTTGTCTTCCCAATTTCCAGTAATGACATGTTCATTATCTTTACCCATGTTATTGCTCTCTTGTGGTTTCTTCTTTAACATTCAAAAATATATTATTTTTAATAATTTGATCTGCACATTAATGTCTATATGGGTTGATCCTAGAGATAGAAATGCAGCCATTCTGTGTATAACTTATTCTTTAATTCCTTTCACCATTTCAAGGCAAGCTCATCATCAGGATCTTCCAGCACCAAGATGATTGATCATTTTGTAGGGATGGGGTTCTCAGAAGAAATGGTTATCAAAGCTATTCAGGAAAATGGTATGACTTCCATTTACTTCGTTAAAGCATAGGTTTAATTCAGAGGTCATCCGTAACCTTGCTTTTATTATTATCCAGGAGAGCAGAATACAGATTTGATACTTGAAACTCTGCTCAAATACTCAGTGAGTTGATGTTCATTTTCAGTTATAAAATAATTGGTGAAATACTGAAAACATGTCTCTTGTACCCTTTGTGAAATTTTTATGTGAAAATGTTTGTGCATTAGCTAAATCTGGTTTCTATATAATATATGTAACCACTCCTATAATGGGATTTGATTCACTTTTCTGCTTCCAGGGAAGCTCATCGGCAAGCTCTTCAAACTCCAAGTTGATTGATCATTTCGTGGGGATGGGGTTTTCTAAGGAAATGGTTGCCAAAGCAATTCAGGAAAATGGTAAAGTTTGTTTCTCTCTTATGTTGTGCATCACTTTTCACCCTGAATGCCTTATGTCTAATCTGCTTACTTAAATCTCAGGAGAGGATAATACAGATTCAATATTGGAAACTCTTCTCACATACTCCGTGAGTTAATTTCTGCCCCTGTATACTTCTTTTTCGTCTGTTTCTTTTTTGCCCTTGATATTGCTGTTCAATTTAAAAATTGGCGTACTGTACCCTTATTGATAAAATAATAACCAGCTAGATTTGGCAACTGTACCCTTATCGTCCAGAACTCCAGATTGGTACCCTTATTGGCAATATTTGGGAACTGTAAGAAGCAGCCGCCAGTTGGAATACCTACTTTCTTTTTTAAATAAGAAACAAGAAAATTTTATATAAACTAATTCAAAGGGGGGACACCAATCTGGACAGCAGACCACAATCGGAACAGAAAACCAGTAGGGTATCATACGTGATAAATCTCCGTTAAACAACCTTCTTCCAGATTTTCTGTTAGGATGATTTTTGCTTTCTTCTTTTTTGATGAAGCAATAGTTGTATATTGATAAATAATTTTTTTGTTGCAATTTATTGAAAAAAATTATACTGGGCATTTATCTTTCTTTCTTTCATTTATTTATTAATTATAGTTTTTCTGTAGGCTCTTGAAAAGTCTCCTCAAGCACAGCAAGATGTTGATTCTGATGAATACTCATCAGAACTTGAAGGCAGCTTTCTAAATGATTTTTCAGATATCAATACTTCTGATGGCGAGGTAGTTAAATATATATATATATATTTTGCCATACTACTTAGGTGTATCTGTTATGTAAAACTTAAGTGATGAATTTATTTAATATAACCTTCTTCAAATATGTGGCGTCCTGCTAAAATCTAATTTGCATTACTGCAATCATGTTATTTACATTCCTAACTCAATCTACTAAATCATTTAAACTTCTGTGCCTTCTGATGCATGCATCTGTGTATTGGATATTTTAACTATTGGATGTCTGTTATTTATTTCTTGGAGGAAGTTTAGACAATATACTTGCAGATATACACATAAACATTTTGATTGATCTTTTCAGGAAATCCGAAAACCTGTTTCTGACAAGGAAGATAAACTGTTGTTCTTAGCTAGCATGGGGTATGCAGTGGAGGAGGCTTCAATAGCCATGGAGAGATGTGGTGTGTATTCTATTATAGCCTTGAAAATTTATTTTTTTATTTTATTTTATGGGTAGTGTTTCTTTGAACATCTACTGGGCAATTGCTTACAATTTTATTCTTGTCAATGATATTAGTATATTCTGAAGATTTAGGTTTCAGTTTTTCTTCCATGAAAGGGACAAATTTTTCAGTAGAATTCTGCTCTTTGTATTTTTGAATGTCCCTTTGGTTTGCTCTATTTTTATCAGTTTGTTGGAGGGTTTTTAAGTTTCTTCTGAAAAGCTTTCTTGTTCTCTTATTTTTCAAAAAAGATGATTGATATGATATTTTTAGTGAATGTGAGCCACCCTTGGGTTTAATCAGGTGGTAAGGGGTGGATTAGGTCTTCTGTTGAAATCTTACCTAGCAAACAAAAAAGGACTGTTGTCTCCGTCTGATGCTCACTTTTTTTTGAATCCTTGAATGTAAAATTTATTCTGGTTCTTGTGGCTGATTCCTGGAATCTTTGTGACAGCTATGTGTTATTCCTTTTAATTCAGAGTGTTTTGTCTTCTGTAGATAATAAAATCTTTATTTGACAACTGACACCGATTCTGTAGTAATTGGTAGATTTCTTTCCTCATTCCTGATAGTTTATATTTTGTAGCAACAATAGTGCTTCGTTTTGAGCTGCAGTTACTCTATTTTAAATGTTATCAGGTTTATGTGATATTTTCCCTTCCGTAATGGTAGTATTTTTCTATGAATTGTTGTAATGTGTCCCCTTTCAATTTCTCTGGTTACCTGCCGCATTGCTAACACCAAGTTGGTGTTTTTATTTACTTAGAAGTGCAGCAATGCATTTAACTGTTTTGGCATTTGCTGAATGATGTATCTTGATGTGCTGCAACTGGTGATCTAATGAACCTGGGAGGATTCTTATCTGTACTGGAGGCAGGTGACCACACTTAGCCCTGTTGTTGTTCGATCAGAAAATAAATCAAGTTGACTGGTTGATTTTGGCATTTGGATTCTGTGAAATGATAATAGTTTCAATATGTGACCTTAGGGTTTGTCTTCTGTTTTGGTGGTTTATGTCATAGATTATCCAAAGAGAGTCTTCAGTCTCTTATTAGTTGCAAATTGTGGTTGCCTTGTTTTGTAGTAGTTATGTTTGTCCCTTTTCAAAATTGTAGGGCCAGACTCTACTATTGCAGAGTTGACTGATTTTATATGTGCTGCTCAAATGGCAAAGGCATCTGATGCACTAATGGGAGAATTAGAAGAGAAGGTAATCATTGCTTGTTTATGTGATTGTTAATGATTTATATTTTGTTTGTGTACTGTTTATCCTGTTTATACAATTTTCATATAGAATTGAATATGGTTGTTCTTCCATTTTTACAGCCTAAGCAGTTCTTCAATGATTATCCTAATCACAAGAAGAGGAGAATGCTTGACTATGGCAAAAAGCAGAGGTTTGAGAAGAAGTTGCTGAATGGAGACGATGAGCAGATACGTCTACCAATTCCTATGATTGGCTATGGGGTTCCTACAGAACCTGGTTGTATAACTCATCGGACACTTCCAGAGGCAGCCATTGGACCTCCTTACTTCTACTATGAGAATGTTGCCCTTACTCCCAAAGGTGTTTGGGACACAATTTCAAGATTTTTATATGATGTGGAGCCAGAATTCGTTGACTCGAAGTATTTCTGTGCTGCTGCAAGGAAAAGGGGATATGTGCACAATCTGCCCATTGAAAACAGATATCCTCTTCTTCCACTTCCTCCTCACAATATTAATGAAGCTCTGCCCTTAACAAAGAAATGGTGGCCATCATGGGACCCAAGGACCAAATTAAATTGTTTGCAAACTTGTGTTGCAAGTGCAAAACTGACAGAGAGGATCCGCAAGGCACTTGAAGACTATGATGGCACTCCGCCTTTGAGTGTCCAAAAGTATGTTCTCGAGGAATGCAGAAAGTGGAACCTGGTCTGGGTTGGAAGAAATAAGTTAGCTCCCCTTGAACCCGATGAAGTGGAAATGCTTTTGGGGTTCCCCAGGAATCACACAAGAGGAGGGGGAATAAGTAGGACTGACAGATATAAATCGCTAGGTAACTCATTCCAGGTAGACACAGTAGCCTACCATCTGTCAGTATTGAAAGAAATGTTTCCTGGAGGCATCAATGTTCTCTCTCTTTTCTCTGGGATTGGTGGTGCTGAAGTTGCACTCCATCGGCTTGGTGTTCCTTTAAAGAATGTTGTGTCAGTTGAGATTTCTGAAGTAAATAGAAATATTGTCCGTAGTTGGTGGGAGCAAACAAACCAGAAAGGGAGATTGATTGACCTTGCTGATGTTCAACAACTTGATGCTGACCGGGTAGAGCACATGTTTAATTCGTTTGGTGGATTTGATCTCGTAATTGGTGGAAGTCCATGTAACAATCTTGCAGGTAGCAATAGACATAGCAGAGATGGACTTGAGGGTAAACATTCTTCACTCTTCTATGATTTTTTTCGGATTCTGAACATGGTCAAGGATTTGACCACAAGACACTAGCGGTTTCATGTAACTATAGCTTATTTAGCGGATACTGGTCTGAAATTTGGAATTCTTCCACCCTTTATTTATTCTTGGTGAAATATGAATAATTTTTTTGGAAGAAAATTCATATAGTTTAAGAATTCTTTTAGTATATTTCTGATAATGCAGTACTCGAATTATTTCTGTAATGGGATGAATAACATAGCCTACTGTCTCAGCTTATGTTAAGTAAACTTCAGAGGAATGAATGAATTGCAGAAGAAATAAATACTTCTGGTTGTGGTTATTCTCGAGTATAAAAGTTTCATATGTTGTATCGAATTTAAATAGTTAAGTTTGGTGAGATTCAGGTCCCAATATTCTGTGGTAATCTGGAAGAAAATTGCTCAGCGGTGGAGGGGTATTTTGTTATTTACGAATATTATATTAACTAGTTATAATGTATTAATAATATGTATAACTGTTTTTCATTTATCCATGTTTTATTAGTTACTCCTTAGTTACGAAATAAAAGTTGTTTTAAGCAATTGCCCACCTTTTAATTAACTAATTTAAACTAATTTTTTTAATGTAAACAAATTTTCTCTCTTGGCTCCTTCCTTTGAAAGTAAAGTGGGAAATTTCTTTATTTTCCCGCCTACGTAAAAGTGTTAAAGTGTACTATTCTTCCATCTTTATTTTTTCACTATTAATCATGGTTGAACAATGTTATAATAAAAGTGTGTTTGGGGAAATCCATTTGAATGTTCTTTTGATATTAAAAGTGATATTAAAAGTTACGAATAAAGTTGATGATGTAGCTGAGGAAGTTAAGATGTCGCTGAGGAAGTTAATACGCATGTGAGCTGGAAAAAATCACAAATGAACAAAGGGAAACTATTTTTGAATCTTTGTTGAAGTGAAACGTTAATGGATAATTGAAGAAAAATACTACATTTGAGGTGGCTTAATTATTTTCAGTTAGTATGTGTACAGTATAACGCATTTGGCAATGGGGAAAAGAAAATGAAGTATTGGATTCTAACACTAATGTGTCTAGCAAAAAGCCACTCAATTGCGGGCGTAAACGTCTTCAAATTGATGTCAATCAATTTCGACATATTCCATTGCGAAGAAGGACAACACTTGAGTCTTTATCTGCTGCCACAAATTTTTCAACGACAACATTGTTTAGGTGGTTAAAAGAGGACTCCATATGTCGTCATTCAAATGCTATAAAACATGTATTAAAGGTGGAAAATATGAAAACCAAAATACGTTTTTGTTTATCAATGATTGAACAAGGCAACAACCCTAGTTGTTTGAGGTTTGTAACCATGGAAAATATTATTAATGTTGATGAGAAGTGATTCTACATGACAAAGCAGTCATAGAAGTATTACCTCATTCCTAACGAAGACGAGTTTTTACGCACATGTAAGAGTAAGACTTTTATTACTAAAGTTATGTTTATGGTTGCAGTGACACGCCCAAGGTTTGATGAATCAGGGAATGATTTATTTTAGACTCCAAGTAAAGAGCCTTGGTGTGAAGGTGTAATGTCGATGTCCTTTGTGGAGGGCTGACCTCTGCTTATATAGTGTCGTCTGGTCTCCCAATCCTGTGGGAGCAGGAGTCCTAATGTGACTCCAATGTAAACCCTAAGAATTAGGGTCGTGGTGGTTTCTTACCAGGTGTCCAAATAGGAAGGTAACCCTGTTTTAGGAGAACCGCTAGTGGAAGTGATCAGGAATAGGAAGGCGTCCTTGAATAGGAGGCTGATTAGGAGTAGGAAAGTACTATGAAAGGACTCTGGGCTCTGGATTCGTTTGTGGACCTAGGAAATGGACTGGTTTGAGAGGCTCGTGCCCGCGTGATTGGGCCGGTTTATACCTCATTCAAATAGAACTAACTAACGGCTTGGGCCTTTGCAGGACTGGGCCTGGTCCGTCTTCGCTAATTGTCCTATTCCCTATTTGGGCCAGGACGATTTTTGGCCCTAACAGTTGGTGACATTTGCTGACGAACCCCCATCTACGAACACTCTTTTCACTAGGATGTTGGCTATTTGCAGGGAGAGGACTAAAGCGTCGTGGTGAGGAGCGGCTAGGGTGATTGGTTCGTCATCCTCAAACTGAATTACCTGATGGGAGTATGACCTCGAGATCGGGTGGATGGACTGGACTTCATGATGGTTAGTTCTAGCATGCCGTTTCGCTGATGAGTAACTTATCCCACTGATTTCTGATCCTCCGGAGATTAGCGAGCAGAATCCCTTCGGTGTGGGTTCTCCCGGGGGGGGGGGCACTATTGTTTGGAGCTTTTCTGGCTAATGGTGTTCTTCCCCTTGTCAGTGAGTAGATCTCGGAGATGTCCTCTCTTCAGAAGTGCGGCAACCTCGAGCCGCAAGGCGATGCAGTCTGCAATGTTGTGCCCATGATCGTTGTGGAACTCGCACCACTTGGTGGTGTCTCTCCTTGCCTCGGGATTGAGCTTACCAGGCCACTTGACAGCAGATCCCATTCCTTTCATTATTGCTACGACCTGGGTTGGTTTGATGTTGAGACTGTATTCTGGTATTTTGAACTGGTTCGATCCCAAATTCCTGTTATTACTTCTCAAGGGTTGGCGGTCGTATGGTATTCTGGCTCTGCCTATATTCCGTGCGGGGGGTTGGTAGCGGTGTTTTACCGGTCTAGGCTCTGGCTTCCTGTCGTTACGCCTTGGTTCGTATCTAGAATGGGCGGCTCGGTTCATCTCATCTTCCTCCCACCTTATCTGGATCACGGCTCGGGCCAGAGCGTCTTCCATGGTAGTGCAGCCTAGCTTTGTAAGCTCTTTGTATAGTTCTCCATCTGGGAGGAGGCCTTTTCTGAAAGCGTCCACAGCAGTCTCGGGGTTACAGGAATGAATAGAGATCTTCTCTTTGTTGAATCTGCTAACGTACTCTCTTAATGGTTCCCCCCTTCGTTGGTATACTCGGTACAAGTCGGCCGACAACTTCTCTAGCTTCTTGCTGCTGGCGAACTGTTCCACAAAGGTGTCAGTAAGCTGAGCGAATGAATCGATGGATCCGTTCGGGAGGTTCGTGTACCATTGGAGCGCCGGGCCGGACAAACTAGAACCGAAACTTTTGCACATGCAGGCTTCTCTAAGCGGTCGGGGTATGGAAACAGTGAACATCCGCTGCTTGTACGAGGCTATGTGGTCGTCCGGGTCAGTGGTACCGTCATATGGTTTCATGTTGGGGATAGTGAATTTCTGGGGCATGTCAGCCAGGGCGATCTCGTCCGCAAAAGGTGAATCGGCGTAACAATTCGGTCTGCTCTTCTTGGTTGGGATTGGCATTCCTGGGATACGCCTCATTACTGCCTCAACGTCGGCCAGTCTCTTGGCCAGTAACTGTTCCACAGGGGAAGGGGATACTATCGGGTCATCCCGTCTTACCGGGTCTGGTACGTTTCGTGGGGTCATCCCTCGGGGGGTAGTCTGATAAATCAGTCCGTCGTGCGCTCCTTGGTAGCATGTGTCTTCGTTCATCCCTTCTGGTTGGATGACTCCCATTGTCACTGTTCTGTTGTTCTTCCCTACATGAACGGTCAGGGGAGTTGTCTGGTAGTCGTTCGGTCTTTCGGGATGGACGGGCTCAAGAGCTGGAGTTGGTTTGGTTTGGCCGTTCACCCCGCGAGGGTGAGCCAGGCAGGAGGGGGTTTGTGTTTGGGTTGACTGGAGGGGAAGTGGTATGGTGGAGATGGGTTGATCCTTTGGGTTTTCTATTGTTGGATCGTTTTGATCATGAGGCTGGGATGGGTCGACTGGACCGCGCCCTGTTGTATCTTTATCTCCGTTAGTTAAAACGGAGTAGTCGAGCGCCAATGCGTTAAGCGGACGCGGCCCTTTACCAGAATCCGAGGGTTGATGCTCTGGTGTGGAGAGGGGTTGCATGGATGGGACAATGGTGCGGAATCGATTGGGGGGTGCTTGGTCGGGCAGAAACTCGAGTTCATAGAATCGACTTACTTTCTCTTTTAGCGACTGGTTCTCGACCCTGATGGATGTGTTTTCGGCTTCCAGTGCGGCCACCTTGTCTAAGTTTTGTTGCATGAGGGCGGTCAAAGCCTCCAGTCTGGCCTCGAGGCCTGAGTTAACGTCGTCTGGATTGTCAGCCATGGAATATTCCTCCACGTAGCAAGGTTCGTCACGCCGAATGATTGCTAGAGGCCCCACGGTGGGCGCCAAACTGTAGACGTAAAAATCTACCTGTACGGAAAGGGGGGTCTGATCCCGCGAGGTTGAGGCCACTAGCGATCTGCTGCACCTGCACACGTAGAGAAACACACGCGTGAAGCGAACGGGAAACACCAGGGTGGTGTTTGCCGTAGGCACTCCGACGCTCAAGTCAGCAAGGCCGAGAGGCTAATATAGTGAGGGCTAGGGAATGAGAGATTACCGGAAGTCTAGTCGGGGACTGTGACTACGGTGAATAAACGAGACTCTCAAGTAAAGAGCCTTGGGTGTGAAGGTGTAATGTCGATGTCCTTTGTGAGAGGGCTGGCCTCTGCTTATATAGTGGTCGTCTGGTCTCCCAATCCTGGTGGGAGCAGGAGTCCTAATGTGACTCCAATGTAAACCCTAGAAGAATTAGGGTCGTGGTGAGTTGTCTTACCAGTGTCCAAATAGGAAGGTAACCCTGTTTAGGAGAATTCGCTAAGTGGGAAAGTGATCAGGAATAGGAAGGCGTCCTTGAATAGGAGGCTGATTAGGAGTAGGAAAGTACTATGAAAGGACTCTGGGCTCTGGATTCGTTTGTGGACCTAGGAAATGGACTAGGTTTGAGAGGCTCGTGCCCGCGTGATTTGGGCCGGTTTATACCTCATGTCAAAATAGAACTAACCTGGCTTGGGCCTTTGCAGGACTGGGCCTGGTCCGTCTTCGCTAATTGTCCTATTTCCCTATTTGGGCCAAGGACGATTTTTGGCCCTAACAGTATGTGTACAGTATAACGCATTTGGCAATGGGGAAAAGAAAATGAAGCATTGGATTCTAACACTAATGTGTCTAGCAAAAAGCCACCCAATTGCGAGCTCAAACGTTTTCAAATTGACGTCAATCAATTTCGACATATTCCATTGCGAAGAAGGACG